TGTCAGTCCATTACTGTCTCTAAATACGAAATATTACTGACCACAAGCTTTTGAATGACAGTGTATATTATTTATCCGTTTTATAAGTCCCAAATCAGGAGTTTTAGGGAGGAAGCGAGTGTGTCGCTGCTGCAGTCATCACGCCTCTTCTCTCTTCATGGCCACCCATCATATCCAGTGCATAGGAAAGATTAGATCACCGAGGAAAAATCCCATCCTTGTTTAAAGATAAATCTAGCCGGACACGTGCGTCAGGAAAAAAATTGAAGAACGGAAGAATTCAAATTCTCTTTTGCGCCACCATCATTTCCCTGAGTTGGCATGATACCGTGATCTGAATATCATGTGTGTTTACATGGACGTGTGAGCGATTCTCATCCATCATTTCATTCTCTTTATCCCCCACATCCCAGCGCACATCCTGTTATTCGCCTCTCCTCAAGCCGTCCTCCCCGGGTTTCTCTCTTCACCTCATCTTTTCCTTTGATTTTTATTTTTAGCACTCGATGCATTTTGGCAGGGCAGATACAGAAGGGCTCATCGGGACCAGGCAGGGAGGCTGTGGAGCTGAAGGGGAAGTTCCTTTTTTTTTTTTTTTTTTTTGCCCAAAGTAAACTGACTCACCTCAGGGGCAGCGGCTGCCTGTGGTCTAAACCCGACCATAATGAGCACGGCTAGTCAGGAGGTCAGTGTATTAAAAGGCCTCTCTGACAGGGCATGTTAGTGCTCCCGGTGCCTCCTGGAACATCACCAGCGTTCGTTTTATTAGTTTGCGCCAGGACACGGTGGTTTTTACAGGCCTGGGTGGCCCGTCTGTGTGCGCATGTGTTTTGCGGGATACATCCCATCTCCGTTGCTTTTGATGGTCAAAATGACAGAATTAAGAGCTGTACGGCGGCCTGTGGGTATCATACTGAGTGTGTGTGTGTTTCTGTCAGGTACACAGGCTTCTTTCTGGAGCTGCAGTGTCAGTCTGGATAGAATCAGGTCAGTCAGTTCCTCAGAGGAGTTGAGGAGAACACGACGAAATAGAATAAAAGAGAAAGAAAGGGTTTGCCAGCGATTTGAGACGCTGATAAGAGGAAAAGGGAATATGCTGCAATCTCGGGATGAGAATAAATGGTGCGTCCTTTAAGATAGTAAAATAGAAAGGGGATATTTTATAAAACTATAGTGCTACTGATGCTAGACCATATTTATTTAACAAAAAAGGCAATCCCAGAATGTGAACATTAAGACAAAAAAACAACTAAAGTTGGGGGGGAAAGGTATTAACACGTCACCATTTTTCTCAGAAAACATATTTCTAAAGGTGCTGTTGACTTGTAATGTTCACCACATGTTGGTAACAACCAAAGAAATCAATATATGCAAAGAAAACAATATTAATTAGTTTAAAAATTAAGTTATGTGTAGGCCCACACGGAATCTGCGCGGGCAGAATTCCGCAGATTTTCCGCAGAAGTCCGCAGATTTCTGCAGTTTTTTAGCCCATTATAAATTCTGTTTATTTACTTGAGTAAATGTGTAAATCGGAATTTATTCAGTTTTTATTCAGTAATTTATTACTTTTTATTTGATATATTAAAGTGTAAGTTATGATACTCCGCTGGATACTCCCAAAATAATTCCGCAGAAATCTGCAGATTTTACTAAAATTCTCTGCAGAAATAGCAAAAAACGTCCGCAGATTCCGTCTGGCCCTAGTTATGTGTATTAAAATGAAATGACATAGGGAAAAAGTATTGAACACATGAAGAAAGGGAGGTGTAGAAAGGCAGTGGAAGCCCAGACAGCAGCTCAAATTTCTCAGTAGTTCCTCCTCTGCCCTTCGTCATTGTAAATGAATATCAGCAGCTTTAGTCTAACATCTACATTATTAGAATGATGAAGATGAAAGCAGAGTAAACATTTCAGCAAGACAATAATCCACAATGCAGCCAAGCAAACTCTTAAATGCTTTCAGAGAAAGAAAGTCAAGCTGTAGAATGGCCCGGCCAATCACCTGATTTGAATCCAATAAAAAAAATACAAATTAAAGATCAGATTTAATAGGCAAGACTCACAGAACCATCAAGATTTTTACACTCTGCTAAAGTCAAAATCAGACCTGAGCAATTCATGTGACTTCATTTTCCATATGAGAGCTATCTTTAAGCTGCCATCACTAAAAAAGCCTTATTTTTAAAGTATTAAATAGGTAATATTTAAAATACTAAACATTGTTATTACAAATTTTTCAGATATTTTTGTTTTTATACCGCGGATGCCCTTCCAGCCACTAGGAAACACCCATACACACTCTTTCACACACATACACTACAGCACCCGGAGGCAACCCACGTGTACACGGGGAGAACATGCAAACTCCACACAGAAATGCCAACTGCCCAGTCGGGGCTCGACGCAGTGACCTTCTTGCTGTGAGGCGATCGTGCTACCCACTGCGCTACCGTGACGCCCTACTTAAAGATCAGTAACTTGTGTGTGCTAGTTGTATGCTTCTGGGACCATGTTGTTAGCTTAGCAACATGCTAACACCAAGCATTTTATGTCATACAGAGTTGCTTCATATCAATCCGTTTGTGAGGTAACATTTAATTTAGCATGCTATCCAAGTAGGTAACCATCTAGGAAAACGGTAAGCTCTCTAGGTTTTGGCAATGATCCAGCAAGTTTCAGTGTTTAAGAGGTCAAAGAAAAAAATGAGAGGGAGGAAAAAAAAGCGAGGCAGAGGGAGGATGTTTTAGACACACGCTTCACCACTGACACTCTAGCACACGTGGCTAACGCTAACCCTGAGACATTCTCCAGTCTGCCGCCTCTATTTGTCAGTACACTGGAGGCTTTGACCATCTCAGCTAACACTACATGATGTTCACCCTCCCTTTTTCTGTTACCGCAGTTTTGACCTAACAGGCCACACTCCCAGAAACAGCTGCACTTGACTGACGGCTAGTTATGGCAAACTAATTATTTGCAATGCTATGAGTAGCGTATTGTTCATATGCTGCGCACTGAAGTGATCAAAAGTGACAGTTATTAAGAGACCACTTGAAAATCCTGATTTATTATTAATATTTGTGACACCAGACCACAAATAAGTCATAAGTGTCAATTATTGGATGTGGAGATTTACGCATTAGCTGTAATCTGAATGTGTAAGCTTTACATTGATGTATGGTTTGATATGATAGAACATCATTTGGCCAACTTTTTGACAACTATTTGCACAAATATTCACTTAATTATTTAACAACACACCAAATTTACATTTCAATTTGCATATAATGACACTAGACCACAAATAATTCAATTCAATTCATCTTTATTTGTGTAGCGCTTTTACAATGTAGATTGTGCCAAAGCAGCTTCACATCGAAGATTGCATAATGGTAATAATGTCATAAGTGTCCATTTTTCTGGATGTGGAGATTTAAGCATTAGCTGTAATCTGAATATGTAAGCTTTCCATTTATGTATGATTTATGATAGGACAACATTTGGCCATGATAGAAGTATTTGACAATTGTTAACGTATTAAGAAAATCACCTTTAAAGTTGTGCAGATGAAGTTCGTAGCAATGTATATTACTAATCAGAAATTAAATTTCAATATATTCACGGTAGGAAATGTACAAAATGTCTTCACAGAACTTTTAATTAAATTTCAAATGATTTAGGGCATTAAAAAAAGGAAAAAAGACCCATACAGTGTATTTTATTACTGTTTTATAAAGATAACGTAAAGATCTGATCACATTTCTTCCAGTCAGAATCATTTTGGGCTTATTTATTATTTTCCTATTATTTATTATTATTTTTTTTTTTTTTTTAAGTGATAATTGGTGTTCATAATAAAGCTTTAAATTAGTTGTCAATTACTGTGATTGACTCCTTTGAAGTTAAAACAGTTTGCAAGGCAAGTTTATTTATATAGCACATTTCATACATAATAGTAACTCATAGTGCTTTACATAAACTAAAATAAAAGAAAAAAGAAACGATTAAAGGAATAAAAAATTGTTAAAATATGGAGAAAAAAAAAAGATTTTAAAGAAATTAAAAACAAAAGAAAGACATAATAATGTGATTTTTCCGGATGTAGCACAGTGCTCATTCAATAGAGGCACAGCTAAACAGTTGTTTTAAGCCTTGATTTGAATGGGCCTAATGTTGGAGCACATCTGATCACTTCTAATTCCAGCAGCGGGGGGTGTATTAGCTAAAGGCAGATTCACCCTACTTTAAACAAACTCTTGGAATATCTAATTTACTTGATCCTAATGATCTGAGAGATCTGTAATATAATGAGGTCCTAGGCCATTTAGTGATTTATAGTAGATAAGTAGTAATACGTTAAAATCTATTCTGAATGTAGGGAACCAGTGTAAAACATTGGTGTGGTGTTGTCTAAAAATGCATGTAAACAGGTATTTAGAAGATGGTAACAGAATAAATGAAGAAAATATGTTTTACTAAAACACATAACCATAAATTATCAAGAGAAACGTACTTCCAGAGAAACAGACTTTTCAGTAGCCTCTTTTTTTGTAGCTGTGTACTTAATTATACGCATACATATAGAACATTTCAATGTGGTCATGTCATTGGCCCATCAACATTTCCTGCTTGTTATCAAATTATTTCATAACTGTTACAAGAGGCAATTCAATCATAGCCTAATGGTAAAACTGCTATCATAACATTATTTATCAATATTTGGCTCTTGTTAGATTCTCAGAGGCAATAGAAATTAAAAATGTAAAACATGAAATACATTGGGACCATTGTTTATGTTTACATCCCTCATAATGGTCTATACAGTATATGTTGTCTTCAGCATCATTACTGTGTAGTTTCATGCTTAAGTACCACACATCTATAGATCGTCGACAGGGAATTGGAAGTGAATGTGTCAACAGGACCTATTTTCAATCGCAGTTTGTCAAAAATGTGCTGTCTGAAATCTAATTAAGTGTGTGTTCTCCTCCAAACAGGCAGGAGGCACTGTTGGCAGCCATCAGCGAGAAGGACGCCAACATCGCTCTACTGGAGCTTTCGTCCTCAAAGAAGAAGAAAACTCAAGATGAGGTGGCTCTGCTGAAGAGAGAGAAAGACAGGCTGGTTCATCAACTCAAACAGCAGGTAAGACCCCAAAAAAAAAAAAAAAAAAACCCAACCAAACAGCAGGTGAGATCAATGACAGTCTGGCCGTCTGCATCTAGACCAAGGCACGAGGCAAAACCATAGACTAAAATGAGCACAGACCTCAGTCCTCCTAGTTTCCTAGAGGAGTTCTTCAACCTCACCCACAGGAATTACATTGGTGAAGCTTAAACCAGACGTTCGTCAGTCTAAAAGAAAAAAAAACTGAAAATAGTCCCACCTCAAAGGGACAATTTAGATTTTATAGCTCAAGTCTAACAAGCTTTTTTGTTTTGCTGACGAATTGTGTGTTTCTGACCCAAATGGGAGCTTCGCTTTTCATGCTTTTGAACTCTCCGACTCTCTCGTTCCTCAGGCCCTGATTGTGTTTTACTGTAAAAACACTTTTGGGTTTTGCACTCTCCAGTCAAAATGATACGTGCGTCATAATTGAAAGCATGCCACAGATGCTGTCTGTAGACGTTAAGTTGACAATACCCTGAAATCCTGTCTCTTATGAGGGGCGTGAATACATGGAAACATAAGATCGCTCTGGATATGCTGGTGTTCACAGATTGGCTAACCAGCTGACCTTGCTATCGTAGTGTTGGTTAGCAGTTCAAGGAGAGGCTGAAGAACATATACATTATAGGGAGACACACGTTGGGAATAAAATTTTGAGTTTGGAGATCCAAACCGGGTACAGATGTCCAGCCGCAGAGTAGAGTGCATGTTTTGGGATTATTTGACTCCTCCTGGTTCCCACAAACCACCTGCAGAAAGCACACACAGACTAGTGGCTGTGTTATGCACTTTCCACTTAATTGTTAATAGTAGTTTGTGAAGTCTGTCGGTTCTCTGCTAATCGATTAATGGGTTATTTTTATACAGTTAAGAGTTTTTTTTTTTGACTCGGTTTGGATGTTAAACTGTAATAAATATAATTAAAATGAACCAAATTGTGAAATTCAAGTTGTGTCTGTCTTTTTCATCCTACAATTTGGTTCATTTTTCTTTATATTTATTACAGTTTAACATCCAAACTGAGTTAAAAGCGTAGTAAGTGTACAGGATATGCTGATGCTGTGTTCACAGTATTGCTAACCAGCCGACCTTACTTTAGTAGTAGTTAGCAGTTCGAGGAGAGGCTGAAGAACAAGCTCTGGAGGATTTATAGGGAGACACACATCGGGAATGAAGTCTTGGAGTTTGGAGATGCAAACAGGGTACAGATGTCCAGCCGCAGAGCCGTCAAACAGAGCAGTTTTAGGATTATTTGACTCCTCCTGGTTTCCAGGAACCACCTGCAAAAAGCACACACAGACGAGTGGCTATTTTCTACTTTATTGTTAATATTAGTTTGTATTGCTAATTGATTATTGGCTTATTTTTATACAGTTAAAAGGTTTTTCAGCTCAGTTTGGAGATGTTATGTTGTAATAAATATAAAGGTAAATGAACCAAATTGTGAGATAAAAATTTTTTTGAAAAAAAAAAAAGTTTATCCAAACTAAACATAATTAAATTTGTTTGGTGGGAACTTTATTTTAAAGTGTCAGCAGAATGCGTAATAAAAATGAAAAGATTTTATCCATAATGCAAATGTCATTAAGATATGACTAATCAACATTATATTACCAGCATTCATGTTGTTACTGTTACAAGATCACATCTGACCTTGCTAGCTAGCTAGTCTAATGCAATAATGCACATTCCACTGTTTGGCAAAACATACATTTGAATGATTTACAAAAAACTAATTTGCTAAAAACTTTTTTGAGTTGTGAATATGTCATCATTACTTACTGGAGGTGATGTCTCAGACTTTTTTGTGGATCTAACATGAGTTGATTCTTTGTTTTTATTGCGTTTACATTTGCATTCAGCATCTACTCACAATAAATCGCGCCACAGAAAAGCACTGCAAGTCATTGGCTAAACTAAGGTCTTCTCTTTCCAACAATAACATTAGAATGTCAATACTAAAGAAACAGTGGCAAATAAATCAATATAATATGGCAACACCATGCAATAGAGGGTTAATTACATATTACTTACACTCTCAGAAATAAAGGTATGTGATCTGTCACTGGGGTGGTACCTTTTCAAAAGGTACACATTTGTATAGGGTTCATATTGGTACCTCAAAAGTATATATTAGTACCTACACATTTGAAAAGGAACACTTTTGTACTTTTTAGGGACTAATATGTTCCCTTGAGGTATTAACATGGACCAGGTACAAATGTGTACCTTATGCAAAGGTACCACCCCAGTGGCAGATCGCATACTTTTGTTTCGGAGAGTGTACAGTTTCAGTCAATAATATTAGCCCTCCTATGAAATTATTTCTAAAGTGTTGTTTAACGAAGGAAAGATTTAAAATTTAAAACACATTTTATTATTAAAAACAAAAAAGTTTTAGTAACTTATTTATAATAGCTATTTTTTTGTCTTTGTCATGTTGACAATTCATAATATTTCACTAGGTATTTGGCAAGATACTAGTATTCAACTTAAAGTGCCATTTAAAGACTATATCTAGGGTAATTTCAAGTTAGATTAATTAGGTCGATTGAAAAGAGCCTAAAAATGCAAGAAATTATTACAAATTAAATAATAATAATTAAAAACCAGACTGAAATATGAACATTTTCTTAGTCTATGAAATATAACTTTAGAAATATTTGAAAAAATAATAAAACATTTGCAGTAGGGCTTAGGGCTATATATATCGGTATATCATTTCAGCATCGATAACCCAATGTGTGGATCTGCAATGTTGAGATGGCATTGTAATTAAGCAGAAAACACCCTTTTTAAGACCTGCATGTGACAATGTAAGAGTTCAAGTATGAATTGAAACCATTTGGGCAATAGAAAGGATCAAATGTGTAGCTTGAACATAAAATAATTGCGTTTAATTATCTCTACAACTAAGACTATAGTAGAAAACATTTGAAGAGGATCACAGAAGTTTTTCAAAATTATCCTGAGACAAGAATGAATGTTGATGAATAGTTTTAGGACAGCTCAAAGTTTTGATATGCTTTAAATATTGACTATTGTGTACAGTATTATTTTACATTTAATTTCTGTGTTTTAATACTGGTAAGACTCTACAAAAACATAAAGCACTGTTTATTTATTTTGTATCTTTGATCTATTTAATAATTTATGCTTTAAATAAAATAATGATCATTATGTAATATGTTTATTTTATTTTATACAGATCAACTCCCTTAAAAAATCTTCACAATCAATGTAAACCTATGAATTGTTTCCAAATAGAGACACACACAAAAACTCTGCATCTCTGTTTCCAGTACAAACCGGCCACACACATGTACACAAAACCCAGCGGCAACAGAAAAACAAAGCGACCGAGAGCCACGATATGCACATCCACACTTTAACTCCATTCATGCACACGCTGGAAAACAGACGTCTGAATGACAGGCTATCAGCTCCAGCATTCCTCGGGAAATGGGTGTCAGCAGTGCTAGATACTCTGCACCCGCAGCCCCTGAGATCAGGAGGGCAGCCTGCGCCCCGTCCCTCTCACTGTCAATCACACAATCTGCTTAAGAGCCGCTGCTCTCCTGACATACTAATGGTTGAGGTCGGAGATAAAGGTTACACGCGGTGGTCCTAAATCAGGGCTTTCTGAGCAGTTTTACTTCGGGGTCAAAGTTAGGAGCCAACTTCGGAAAGGTTAAGACACGTCCTTTTCACAGCAGAAAGACACATTACAAGCAACCGTTTGCCGTTTATCCTCATTTATAATCATTAGTTTAATCATTAGATAAAGATCGCATGCAGTGGTCCTAAATCAAGGCTTTTTGGAGCAGTTTTACTTCAGGGTCAAAGTTAGGAACAGTGTTGGGAACAAGTTTAAGACATGTATTCACTACAGACACATTACGAAGAGCAGTTTAGCATTGGTTGTTATTTAAATCATTAGAATTTGAAGTTTCAGGTTTGGTAATAATAAACAGCGATAGCCTGAAGGTGTTTTACATGATGCTGCACTAACACACTTACCAGGTTTATAATAACAGCTAAGATACTTTATTAAATGTAGCCATATGCATAATTATAGGTGGAAATTGCAAAGGGAAACTGTCCAACAAGTCTAATCTTTACACTGTGGGTCAATTTGAAAGTATTGCATAAGAAATGTAATGATACGTAAATTATGGGTGGAAGTTTTTAAGGAAAACTCTCTAATTTAAGTCTAATCTTTGCAATATGGGTCAATTAGAAAACATTTTGTAAGAAATGTAACCATATACAAATTATGGGTGGAAGTTTTTAAGGAAAACTCTCTAATTTAAGTCTATTCTTTAAACTATGGGTCAATTTGAAAGCATTTCATAAGGAATATAACCATATGCAGATTATGAGTGGAAAGTTTTAAGTAAAACTGTCTAATTTAAGTCTAATCTTTATTCTATGGGTCAATTTGAAAGCATTTTATAAGAAATGTACCCATATACAAATTATTGTTGGAAAGTTTTAAGTAAAACTGTCTAATTTAAGTCTAATCTTTGCACTATGGTTCAATTTGAAAGCATTTCATAGGGAATGTAACCATATGCAAATTATGGGTGGAAAGTTTTAAGTAAAACTGTCTTATTTAAGCCTAATCTTTACTCTATGGGTCAATTTGAAAGCATTTCATAAGAAATGTAGCGATGTGCAAATTATTGTTGGAAAGTTTTAAGTAAAACTGTCTAATTTAAGTCTAATCTTTACACCAAGGGTGCTCAACCTTGTTCCTGGAGATTTATCTTCCTGTAGATTTCAGCTCCAACTCTGATTAAACACACCTGAATCAATTAATTAGGACCTGAACAGCACTTGATAATTACAGGCAGGTGTGTTTCATATAGGTTGCAACTGAAATCTCCAGGAATAAGGTTGGTCAGCTCTGCTTTACACTATTGGTCAAGATTTTTACACACACGACTTGTTGCCATCCAAATAAATTACTTTAT